GCCCCGCGCCCGCAGAGGAGCTGTCGCGGCTCGGCGGCAGCGGCGCCAGCGACCGGCAGCTCCGGCTGGAGGCGGCCCTGCGCACGACCTACAGGCCCGCCCGTTGCCGCCGCCGCCGCCGCGGCCACCGGCGGCCCTCGGCCGCCCTCGGCCGCCTCTCGGCGGTCCTCGGCGGCCCTCGGCGGTCCTCGGCGGCCCTCGGCGGCCCTCGGCGGCCCTCCGCGGCGGCGGCGGCGCGGAGGTCGGCGTCGGCGTCGCCGCCCTCGTCGCCGCCGCCGTCGTCGTCGCCGTTGTCCTTGTCGTCGTCGTCGTCGTCGTCATCGTCGTCGTCGTCGTCGTCGTCGTCGTCGTCGTCACGACGTCGTCGCCGTCACCGTCGCCGTCGCCGTCGGCGGCGGCGCCGTGGTCGTCGCCCTCCGAAAATTGAGAGTCTGAGGCGTTTCTGCATTTGCGGCCTCAGGAGGCCGTTCTGAGGCCCCGGCGACAGCCAAAAGACGCTTGAGCACGCACAGCCAGTCTTACGTCGGGCGTGCCCCTCTATAGGAGGAAGATTCCAAATAGTCAAAAAAAATAGTCTGGGGATGATGTTTGAGTATGTTTGAGCACTTCTTAGTATTGTTTGACCATTTTAAATTTCGCGTTCAAGATTCGCCTGTAGGAGGACACGCCCGACCTAAAGCCAGTACTGTGGGGAAGGGGTCACGAAGTCCGTTGCCACCAGGCGTCGTTGTCGCCGCCGTTCTTGTAGCCGTCGTTTTCATTGTTTTTTCGCCATCGTCACTTTATATGGTGGTCGTTGCTCTCGCCGTCGTCGAGGTTCGAGGTCGATGACAGCGCTTGTTAAATGATGTTCGCCTGTTTTGGCCTTCAGGATGCCTTCTGGGACCTCCGTGAGGTCGTCGTTCCCCTCATTCTCTTCCGTGCCCCTCCTCCTCCTGATCCTCCCCCTCCACGAGGACGACTGAAATGGAGGACGAGGGGAGGAATAATAATGGATGACAAGAAGGGGGAGGGAGGAGGAACAGAAGGGGGGGGTAGGAAGAAGCTGGAGCAGGAGCAAGAAGGTTAGTGAAGGGGGGCAGGAAAAAGGAGCGATGGAGAAAGGGGAAGGAAGGACGAGGCCTCCTCCTTATACATCTACTCCTCTTCGTGTGTATCTAGCCCTTTCTCCTCACTCTCCTCCTTTCGGCATCCCCATCCGTTATGTTACTCCTACGTACCCTATCCTTGTGATGCTGTTCTTATGCCATACACCCGCCCCGTCATCATCATGGCAAGTCCTGCCTCCTGCGTCCTGTTTCTTCTGACTCTTTCATCGATGATGATTCACAGCCATCTGTGTATCGTTGTTCCCCCCTCTTCTCGGTAACATGCCTCATTCCCCTTTGTACTCTCTCGTCCCCATCCATCTCTGTTGCGTCGTCTTCATGTGTTTCCTCACCCGTCTCAGATGTGTATATCGTCATCTCGTTATCTCGCTTTCTCTCTCTCTCTCTCTCTCTGTCCTTCTCTCTCTCTCGTGCGATTCTATTACGGCCTTCGGCAGCCCATCCCGCCACCGTGCCTGGGTTGTGGGTATGAGGCCCAGTGGATGTTCGTTGGGATCTCGTGGGAGGCCTCTCGGGGGCCTCTGGGCGGCACGTTGGAGGCCTCTGGAGGGCTGCTTCGAGGCCTCCTGGGCTCTCGTCGAGGCGCCGGCTGTCTGGGGCCAGACGCCACAGCCCCCCCCCGCCGAGGTCGCTGCCGAAGAACGAGGGCGGCAACCTGGGCCACAAGGCCATCAGGCATCGGGGGTTGCCAATGGTGCCCCTGGCCCAGTGGCCCCCGGCTCTTCGCTCCATGTTGCAGCCCCTGGGGCCCCCTGGGCCTCGTGACGGGTGCTCTGGAGGCCGCGGGGGCCTCCTTTCTGATCCTTGGGGCGCTTGGGGCCAGGGGCACTTCTAGCAGCCGAAGGTACGCCCTGCACCGGCTGTTCGTGCAGCAGCACGGCTGGTACATCAAGGGCCTGGAGCCCAGCCGGCGAGTCTCGGGCTCGTCGCAGAAGGAGTGGGTGCCCTCGTTCCTCGAGGAGCGGCGTGCTGCTCCTCCGTCGTGGTCACCCCGTTTCCTCGCCCTTCTCCTGGCCCTCCTCCTCCTCCTCCTCCTCCTCCTCCTCCTCCGCCTCCTCCTCCTCCTCCTCCGCCTCCTCCGCCTGCTCATCCAAGTCCTTCTCCGCCTTCTCCTCCTCCTCCTCCTCCTCCTCCTCCTCCTCCTCCTCGTCATCATCATCGTCAGCATCATCAGCATCATCATCACCCTCCTCCTCCTCCTCCTCTCCTCCTCCTCCTCCTCCTCCTCCTCCTCCTCCCTCCGCCTCCGCCTCCACCTCCTTCCCGTCCCCCACCTAATCCTCCTCCCGTCCTCCTCCTCCTCTCCTCCCTCCTCCTCCTCCTCCTCCTCCTCCTCCTCCTCCTCCAATCCTCCTCCATGCTCTGCGTTTGCTCCTCCTCCTCCTCCTCCCTCCTCCTCCTCCTCCTCCTCACCCACCGCCTCCTCCTCCCGCTCCTCCTCCTCCTCTTCCTCCTCCTCCTCCTCCTCCTCCTCACCCTCCTCCTTGCTCATCATCATGAGCAGCAGCATCATCATCACCCTCCTGCGCCTCCTCCTCATCCTCCTCCGCCTCCTCTGCCTCCTCATCCCCGGCCTTCTCCTCCTCCTGCTCCTTCTGCTCCTCCTCTTCATCCTCATCCTCCTCATCATCAGCAGCATCATCAGCATGATCACCAGCCTTATCAGCATCATCATCATCATCACCCTCTCCTCCTCCTCCTCCTCCACCTCCTCCTCCTCCTCCTCCTCCTCCTCCTCTCCTCCGCCTCCTCATGCCCGGCCTTCTTCTCCTGCTCCTCCTCCTCCTCCTCCTCATCCTCCTCCTCCTTCTCCTCCTTCTCTTCATATTCATCCTCCTCATTATCATCTGCAGCAGCATCATCATCAGCATCATCATCAGCCTTCTCAGCATCATCATCACCCTCTCCCCTTCCTCCTCCTCCTCCTCCTCCTCCTCCTCCTCCTCCTCCTCCTCCTCTTTCTCCTCCTCATGCTCCTCCTCCGCCTCCTCCACCGTCTGCTCATCCATCCAAGTCCTCCTCCTCCTCCTCTCCCACTTCCCCTCCTCTTCCTCCTCCTCCTCCTCCTCCGCCTCCTCCTCCTCCTCCTTCTCTCCCCTCATCATCAGCATCATCATCATCATCATCACCCTCCTCCCCCTCCTCCTCCTCCTCCTCCTCCTCCGCCTCCTCCTCCTCCCAGACCCCCGTCCTCCCACCTCCTCCTACCCGTCCTCCCCCTCCTCTTCCGCCGTCTCCTCCTCCGCCTGCTCATCCATGTCCTCCCCGTCCCTCTCCCCTCCTCCGTCTTCTCCTCCCTCCTCCTCCTGATCATCCGCATCAGCATCATCAGCATCATCATCGCCCTCCTCCTCCGCCTCCTCCTTCCCCGTGCTCCACGTCATCCTCTTCCCCGTCCTCCTCCTCCTCATCATGGTCTCATTTCTCCTCCCCGTCCTCCTCCTCCTCCTCCTGCTCCTCCTTATCCTCACCTCCTCCTCCTCCTCCTCCTCCTCCTCCTCCTCCTCCTCCTCCTCCCCCTCCTCCTCCTCCCCATGATCACCATCAGCAGCAGCAGCATCCGCATCATCATCATCACCATCCTGCTTATCCTCCTCCTCCTTCTCCTCCGCCTCCTCCTCTCTTCATCCTCCGCCTATTCGGCCTCCTTATTACCGTCCTCCACCTCCTCCTCCTCCTCATCATCATCATCAGTATCATCATCATCATCAGCAGCATCATCAGCATCATCATCATCATCATCATCATCATCAGCAGCATCATCAGCATCATCATCCTCATCATCATCATCCTCAGCATCCTCGCCAGCATCACCATCAGCATCATCAGCAACAGCATGCCCAGCAGCATCATCACCCTCCTCTGCCCCTCCTTCTCCTCCTCATCATCCTCCTTCTCCTCCTCCTCCTCCTCCGCCTCCTCCGCCTTCGCCTGTTTATCCAAGTCATCCTCATTATCGTCCCCCTCCTCATCATCAGCAGTAGCAGCATCAGCGTCATCAGCATCATCATCATCCGCCTCATCCTTCCCCGCCCTCCGCCTCCTCATCCTGCCCGTCCTCTTCAAGCTCCTACTTATTCTCCTCCTCCTCCTCCTCCTCCTCCTCCTCACCCACCGCCTCCTCCTCCCCGTCCTCATCATCATCTTGCTCCCCCTCATCCGCCCCATGATCATAATCAACAGCTACAACAGCATCAGCATCATCATCACCCGCATCCGCATCCTCCTGCTCCTCCTTCTTCTCCTCCTCCTCCGCCTCCTCCGCCTCCCCATCCCCGACCTCCTCCTCCCGTTCTTCCTCGTCCTCCTCCTCCTCCTCCTCCTCCTCCTCCTCCTCCTCCTCCCCCTCTTCCTCCTCCTCCTCCTCCTCCTCCTCCTCCTCCTCCCCTCCTCCTCCTCCTCTCGTCTCCTCCTCCTCCTCCCCCTCCTCCTCCTCCCCCCCGCCTCCTCCTCCTCCTCTCCTCCTCCGCCTCCTCCTCATCATCATCATCGTCCTCATCTTCCTCCTCCTTCTCCTCCTCCTCCTCCTCTTCCTCCTCCTCCTCTTCTCATCATCAGCAGCCATCATCAGCATCATCACATCATCATCATCTCAGCATCAGCAAATCATCATCAGCAGCATGAGCATTCATCATCAGCATCAACAGCAGCAGCAGCAGCATCAGCATCAGCATCACCCCTCTCCTCCTCCTCCTCCTTCTTCGTCTCCTCCTCCTCCTCCTCCGCCTCCTACTCCGCCTGCTCATCCAAGTCCTCATCATCCTTATCCTTCGCCTCCTCCATCTCATCATCCAGAATCATCAGCATCATCAGCAGCATCATCACCACTCCTCCTCCTCCTCCTCCTCCTCCGCCTCCTCCTTCCCTCGCTCCTCCTCCTCCTCTCCTCCTCCTCCTCCTCCTCCCCCTCCTCCTCCTCCTCCTCCTCCTCCTCCTCCTCCTCCTCCTCCTCCCCCTCCTCCTCACCGACCGCCGGTTCCTCATCCTCCTCCTCCTCATCATCCTCCTCCTCCTCAATCTCCCCATCATCCTCCTCTTCATGATCATCATCAGCAGCAGTAGCAGCATCAGCATCATCATCACCCTCCTCCGCCTCCTCCTCCTCCTCCTCCGCCTCCTTATTCTTATCCGCGTCCTCTTCCTCCGCCTACTCCGTCTCCTCATCCCCGGTTTCGTCCTCCTTCTCTTCCTCCACCTCTTCCTGTTCCTCCTCCCTCTCCTCCTCATCCGCCTTATCATCATCAGCAGTATCAACATCAGCATCAGCATCATCTTCATCATCATCATCAGCAGCAGCATCATCATCGTCATCATCTGTATCAGCATCATCATCACCCTCATCCTCCTCCTCATCATCCTCCTCGTCCTCCTTCGCCTCCTCCTCCTCCTCCACCTCCTCCTCCCGCCTCCTCCTCCTCCTCGGCCTCCTCCTTCCCCGCCCTCCCCCTCATCCTCCTCCTCCGCCCCCTCCTCCCCGTCCTCCTCCTCCTCCCCGTCTCCCTCCTTCTCATCCTCCTCCTCCTCATCATCATCATCAGCAGCAGCAGCATCATTCCTCCTCCTTATCCTCTCCTCCTCCTCCTCCTCCTCCTCCTCCTCCTTCTCCTCCTCCTCTTCATCCTCCTCCTCCTCCCTGTCATCGTCATGATCAGCAGCAGCATCATCAGCATCAGCATCATCATCACCCTCCTCCTCCTCCTCCTCCTCCTCCTCCTCCTCCTCCTCCTCCTCCTCCTCCTCCTCCTCCTCCTCCTCCTCCTCCTCTCCTCCTCCTCCTCCCCCTCCTCCTCCCCCCTCCTCCACCTCCTCCACCTCCTCCCCCTCTCCTCTCCTCCTCCTCCTCTCCCTCCTCCTCCTCCTCCTCCTCCTCCTCCTCCTCCCCCTCCTCCTCCTCCTCCTCCTCCTCCTCCTCCTCCTCCTCCTCCTCCTCCTCCTCCTCTTCCTCCTCCCCTCCTCCTCCTCCTCCCTCTCCTCCTCCTCCTCCTCCTCCTCCTCCTCCTCCTCCTCCTCCTCCTCCCTCCTCCTCCTCCTCCTCCTCCTCCTCCTCCTCCTTCCTCTCCTCCTCCTCTTCCTCCTCCTCCTCCTCACTCCTCCTCCGCCTCCTCATACGCCTACGCCTACGCCTACGCCTCCTCCTCCCCGTCCTCCTCCCCGTCCTCCTTCTCCTCGTCCTCCTCCTCTTCCTCCTCCTCCTCCTTCTTCTTCCTCCTCCGCCTCCGCCTTCGCCTCCGCCTCCGCCTCCGCCGCCTCCTCCCCGTCCTCCTCCTCCTCCTCCTCCTCCTCCTCCTCCTCCTCCTCCTCTCATTCTCCTCCTCCTCCTCCTCCTCCTTCTCCTCCCCCTCATCTTTCTCCTCCTTCTCCTCGCCATCATCAGCAGCAGTAACATCATCAGCATCATCATCACCCTCCTCTGCCTCCTCCTCATCATCACCCTCCTCCGCCTCCTCCTCCTCCTCTTCCTCCTCCTTCTCCTGGCATCATCATCACCCTCCTCCGCCTCCGTCTCCCTCATCCTCCTCCTCCTATTCCTCCTCCTCCTCTTCCTCCTCCTCTTCCTCATCCTTCTCCTCCTCCTCCGCCTCCTCGACCGAGGAGCACCTCGAGCAGCGGCTGGGCGGCCGCGGCGCGAGCCTTCAGGACCCTCGCCTGTTGCCGCCTCCCGCCCCCCCTCCCTCCCTCTCTCCCTCCTCGTCCTGCCTCCATCCCTCCCTCCCTCCCTTCCTCCCTCTTGTCCTTCCTCCGCGCTCTCTCCGACGCTCGATCCCTCTGTTCCTCCCTCCCCCCCCTCCCTCCCTCCCTCCCTCCGGCCCCCCCCCCCCCTCCCTCCCTCCCTCGCTCTTGTTCTCCCTCCCCTATCCTCCCTCCCCTCGCCCTGCCCGGCGCGAGCGCCCCCCGAGGAGCTCGCCGCGATGGCCTCGGCGCTGGAGAGCCTGGTGGCCACGGAGGCGCGCGGGCGGCTCGCCGCGGCGTTCGAGCTGCACGGGCTGCCTACGGAGGGCCCAGGCGCGGCCCCCCTCTTCCCAGGGCCCACTCCTGACGGGCAAGTTTTCCACCAGCACCACCATGAGTTGGAGGGGGGAAAAAGGGAGGATGAGGAGGTCCTCCTCCTCCTCCTCCTCCTCCTCCTCCTCCTCCTCCTCCTCCTCCTCCTCCTCCTCCTCCTCCTCCTCCTCCTCCTCCTCCTCCTCCTCCCTCTCCTACCTGTGGTAGTGGTGGTGGAACATGGGCCCATCAAGTCCGATCCGATCGGCTCGAGTCGCTCTCGGTTCCAGCCCCGCCCGATCTGATTCGAGCTCGCTGCTCGAGCGATCGGGTGAGGCCCGAGGTTCGCGCGGCGCTGCTGTGCACGTCGGCTCGGGCCCTTTGGGGTATTTTTGGTACTTCGTCGAAAATCCCCCTGTAGGGGGGACAGTCGGACAGGCCCGACTAAACAATAGGCGTGTGGCCGTTCTGGGCCCTCCGCGGGATCCCCCCGCGGGCCCGGGGGCCACGGCCCCGAGGACGAAGAGCCGAGCCCGTGGGGGCAGGCCCCGGGGGGGCCCCGGGCCCGCGTGCCTCGACGAGGCCCGCGTCCCGTGCATCGACCAGACGCAGGCCCAGACGTGATCGCGTCGTAAGAAAACCAAAACAGGACGGGAGGTTTTTGCCTCCTTTTGGCCTCGGGGGGTCCTCGCCGGGCCTCGGGACCGTCAAGAAGAGATTCGGGAGGAGAGGCCGGCCCTATAGGGAAAGGATCGGGACTTCCGGGGGCGCCGTCCTGAAAAGATCCGGACGTCGCATGTCTGGGAGAGTGACCCTTCGCCGGACTGACCGATCGCCGAACGCGATGCGACAGGTTGGCGTCCACGGGCCCCTGGACGGTCAGAAAGCGACGCAGGATGAAGATCTGGTCCTTGGGGCAGGCCCCAGGGTCCAGGACCCATTGCACGCAGGACCCGTTTCTCCAGTGCTATCGACTACGCGTAAAAGTGACCTTTCGCCGGAGTGACTTGTGGTGCGGGCCCAGGGGGGCCCCCTATCGCCGAACGCAATGCGACAGGTTGATTGGCGTCTTGCGCGCTCGTGTTGGCCCCCCCCCGCGGCCCCTAGGGACAGGGGAACAAAAAGTGACATAAACATAAAAACTCTGAGGTCTGCGCGGATTCCTCGGATCGGCGCTGGACCCCCCCCTGGCGCGCGGAGCGCGCCAGGGAGGGCGCCGGAGGCGCCGCCGGGGGGCCCCAGCGCCGATCCGAGAACTCCGCGCGGATCTCCTCAGTTTTGATGTTTATGCAATTTTTTGTTCCCCTGAGGTCAGGAGCGAAAGAAGGACGTACACGTACATGAATCCATGTCGGTTTCGAGGGTACGCAGTGCGAGAGTGTTCGTATCGCGCGGCCGGTCTCGCGGATCGAGGGGCCGTGTTCATGTACATGGCTGGGCGCGTGCGTTCTTTGTGGGCTCCCTAGAAGGGAGCCGCGCCCTCCTCCTCCTCCTCCTCCTCCTCCTCCTCCTCCTCCTCCTCCTCCTCCTCCTCCTCTAGAAGAGAGCCGCGCGCCAGAGGTCGCTCTGAAGCCCAGGGGCCGCTCCCGCGTGCGGCGCCGAGGGCCCTGCCGCCGAACGTCGGTGCTCGGGCGTGGCCTCCTCGGGGAGCTCACGGGGCCCTCGGGCGCCCTCGGGGCCGTGGGCTCCAGCCGCCGCGCGCCTCGTGGAGGGCGTCGTGTTGTTGTTGCTGCTGCTGCGGTTGCTGCTGTTGATGCTGTTGTCGTTGCTGTTGCCGTTGGTGGTGCTGCTGCTGCTGCTGCTGCTGCTGGTGTTGCTGTTGCTGCTGTTGATGGATTTCTGCTGCTGTTGATGCTGGTGCTGCTGCTGTTGTTGTTGTTGTTGTTGCTGTTGTTGCTGTTGCTGTTGTTGTTGGGATTGTTGTTGCTGCCGTCGTTGTCGTTGTCGTTGTCGTTGTTGCTGCTGCTGCTGCTGGTGGTGTTGGTGTTGTTGTTGCTGCTGTTGTCGTTGCCGTTGCTGGTGTTTGTGGTGTGGCTGTTGCTGTTGGTGGTGGTGTTGCTGTTCTGGGGAGGCCAGGATCCTCCTCCAGACGGCCTCTCGAGGCCCGGGCTGCGGCCCGGGGGCCAATCGGGAGCCTCTGCAGGCCCAGACTTCTCGATGTCTCGCAGCCCACACGCACACTAATAACAACGTCTCGCAAGACTGATACAAACACAAACAGACGTTCAACCTCTCGCAACACACACACACACAACGCACACACGCACACACACACACACACCACACACACACACACACATCACACAACACACAGACAGCACAGATGTTCAACGCCTCGCAACAAACACACACAAACATAAGACACACACACAACGCAAACACATGTAGGGTCGGACTGAGGTGTCAGACCGAGGTCGGTTCGGGGAGGGTCTTCGAGTGTTCTTCGTGCTTGTTGGACGCTCGTGTGCATCCGGGGGGAGGGCACCCTCGAGTGCTTTTCCTGTCGAACCGGCTGAGGGTCTCGTGTTCTTGAAGGATGTGCTTGTTGTCCTAGGTCCTAGGTCCGACAGTACGGTCGGACCGAGCTATAAGATCGAGGTCGGTTCGGGGAGGGTACCCTAGTGTTCCTCGTTGCATCCTGGGGATGTTACCATTGGATATTCTGCCTGCGTTTGCCGGCGGAGGGTCTGATGTTCTTGAAGGATGTTATTATTTCCTAGATCCGTCCAACGAACGATTCGGCCACGCGGCATCTTGAGTGTTGCTGCAGAGCCCCTCGGCCAGGCCAGAGCGTTAACTCATGTATGTAACCATGATGGAACCAAATTGTTTCGGCCACAGTTTTCAACAGCAGGCGTCCGGGTGGTTGCCACAAGGTGTGAAGGCGCACCGTGATAGCTCAGACAGCACTCGTGCCGCTGGCGAGGCGATGCGATGACCAGACAGCCTTGGGGCAATGGCCGGAACGTCTGGGCCCGTACGAACAGGGCCAGACTCCTTCCAACCACCTGGCCCTTTGGCCCCTGGTCTTTTGATGTTCCAACCCTCTTTAGCCTTCGCCATCAGGAAGAATTTCGAGCACCAGGAAAGTACCGAAACTGGAGGATTTTCGTGTGTCGAGCCTTGGGACGCGATACTCGTTCAACACTGTTTCGATACTTTTCCGGGCGCTCGAAATTATTTTTGGAATGTGGTCCTCAAGTACGATGGGAGCAACATAACCCTGGTCTGAGGACCCGGATGTTTCCTCGGTCCTCAGCCTCTCGGGGGCCCGCTTTTCGGGTGCGTCGGAGCAGTTGCCCTGGGCGGGGCACTGGCCGGGCTGGACCCAGCAGGGGTCCAGAAGTGTGACGTTGGGTTGATTATGGTCGGGTCCCAAAGCAAGGGCGCCCTCGAGGGCGCGAAGTTTTTCGCGCTTCGCGGTTCGGCTCCGATTCCTCCTCATCCTTCTCTTCTCCCCTGGGAGGCGGCGCGAGAGCGCGAAGTTATTCGCACTTCGCGCAGCGCGAAGCGCGAAGTTGGGAGCCTTTGCAAAGGAAGAGGAGGAGGAGGAAGAAGAGGAGGAGGAAGAGGAGGAGGAGGAGGCGGACGGAGAAGAAGGGGAGGGTTGAGGAGGCCCGAGGATCGAAGTGCTTCGTTGTTTATGTTTAAAGGGGGGGCTCCTGGTGGCTTCGCGTCGGCTCGGCCAGGTGGCTCCCCTCGCGTCAAGCAGTGGCGAAGCGTCCTGGCTCGCCTATAGCCCTACCAAACAATGTTCTAAGAACCTTTTGTGGTTTCCACAAAATATTCTTAGAACGTGTCTGGCGGAGTCTGTCTTGATGTAGCACGTCGGGCTTATGTTCTAAGAACATTGTTTTCTTAGAACATGTTTGGGTGGGTTCTAAGAACATTTCGTGGTATGACTCAGGAATGCCGGGACTGTCGGTCCCTGTTCAATCGCGATCCTGGGCAAGGAGCCCCAGGAACATTCTATGGGGTTATGATGTTCCAACCTACTTCCGCCTTGATCATAAGAAAGAATTTCGAGCGCCAGAACAGTACCCCAAAGCTCTAGGGCTTTCACGTGTCGGTCCCTGGGAGACACTGTTTCGACACTCGTTCGACACTCTTTCGACACTTTTTCTGGGTGCTCGAAATTACTTCTGGGATGTGGTCCTTAAGTACGATGGGAGCAACATGACTATGGGGGCGATTTTTGACGCAGGAAAACGGGGGCAACAGGGATAACAGCCATGGAAGTGCCACCATGTTGCCCAACAGCACTCCGAGAGTAAAGGAGGAATCACAGTGCAGCGAGCACGCTCACCACTCGGACTCCATCAAAACCAAATGAATCTGCAGGGGCTCGCCTGACTTGGGACGCCTACCCGCGAACAAAAGAGCCAGGGCCTCCTTGGGCCCTTTTCCGAGCAGCTCCCGATACCGACCCTTCGGGAGGGGCCCCAAACGCTGCGAGCAGTGAGCCCCGCAGCTACAGTGGAGAATCATGCCAAGAAACATCCTGCTTGCCTCCAGGGTGCCCTGGGTTTCTTGGGCTTCGAAGGTTTTGCTGTGAAAAGCATGACGTTCCCACGCAAACAATCAATGGACGTCCTGGGGCCTTAGGGCTGGGTTTCTTGTGGAAGGTTTCTTGTGGACTGGCCTCCGCTGTATAGCAGAACGCGCACGGCCCCACGGACTCCGCGCGGTGCCCCCTCGGGGAGGAGAGCCCGTCCCCCGAGCTCGACGCAGAGGCTGCTCCCGCCTGGACGGCCGCGGCCCCGGGAGCCGCAGAGGGCCCCCGAACCATCGGGAGGCGTAGAGCAGACATTGCCCCAAGCGCCACCCGGACGGCCTCGGGTCGGGAGGCGTAGAGCAGACACTGCCCCAAGCGCCACCCGGACGGCCTCGGGTCTGCAGTCAACCCGCATAGTATGAAGTCGGGCCTGTCCCTCTACAGGAGGGATATTGAGCAATAGTCAAGAAATGCTCTGGGGACGATTGTTTGAGTGCTTTGCTGGAGAGACAGAAAGTGGGCAAGCTAGGCGCGCTCGCGCCCTGTCTGACATCCCACACCTCCCCCCATCCCTTCCCGTTGCTTCGGTTAAGTCGGGCATGTCCCTCTACAGGGGGAATGTTCAAAAATAGGCAAAAAAACCGTATGGGGATTATTTTTCGGTATGTTTGAACATGTTTTGGGCATTTTTGAATATTTTTGATTTTTCGTCCAGAATCGGCATGTAGGGGAACAGGCCCGGCTTAATGCTTCGGTTGTTTCTATTCCCGCGGACCAGTGCCATAACGGACTTGGAACCCCCCCAAAGGACCCCATTGCGCCATGCACAATCGCAAAAAGGGGAGCTGCGTGCATTGGAGAAGCAGGTGGTGGAGGAGGAACAGGGGGAGGAGGAAAGGAGGAGCAGGAACAGCAGCAGCAGGAGCCCGAGTGGAAGAAGCGGGGGGCAGGACGCCCCGGGGGAAGGTCCGGGGAGAGGGAAAGGAGCGGGGCAACGACGGTGAGTTAGCATTCGGATCCAGAAGGGTGGCCCGTGCGGGGGCGAGAGCGCCAGTCAGGACGGTGGGAGCGCAAAGTGCCGGTGAGGCCAGCGCTGCATCGGGAGCGCAATGTTCGAGGACCGAAAGCGTTCCGCTGGAAACAGCACAGGAAACACATAGCAAAGAAATCCGGTACGCACGCAGAAACAAGGCGCGGAGGAGGGAGGCTACTCCTCAGCCGTCTTCGGGGAAAAAGAGGAGAGTAGTATTCAGATTGAGCGTCTGTCGAGGAGAAGGAGGGGGAGGAGAGGAAGCCCTCCTCTCGCTCCTCCTTCCTTCTTCTCCCTCCTGCTTTCCCTGCTCCCTTCTTGTCTTCCTTCTCCTCCCCCCCCCTCCCTCCTCCTCTGGGGGAGGGGGAGCAGGAGGGATGAGGGAGGAAAAGGAGGATGAGGGTTACTGTGCGAGGTGCAGGGAAACGGGAGAAGGAGGGGTGGGGGACAGGTACGAACGGAGAAAGGGCGAGGGAGAAGGAGGAGGACGAGGAGGAGGAAAACGCTGGATGGTGGCAATTGGCGCCTGAAGGTATTGGGGTCTGAGTTGTGGAGGTGCGTTGGCACCTCTCCCTAGGGCCGTCTTCGTTGGCCGAAGAGCTGTAAGCTTAAGTCGGGCCTGTCCCTCTACAGGCGGAATATCCCAAAATAGTCCAAAATAGTCGGGGTACAATGTTTTACTATTGTTGAATATGTTTGGTTGTTTTTTGGGGGTATCTGATACTTTCGTCCAACATCCGCCTGTATGGGGGACACGTCCGACCTAAGTGTAGGCTGATGGGAGTGGGACCCCAGCAGCCCCATATGATGGTAGCTGCCGACGGGTGGCGCCTATAAAGGTCCCCACTGGAGGAGCAGAGGCTTATGATGGTCCTCGCCAGAGGAGAGGCCGATGTCCAGGATGGTCTGGCCGTCCGTGGAGCCGAGGCCTGACCGCAGGGATCGTGACCGAGGAGGGCCTGACCGAGGCAAGAAATAGTGCCCGACTCCCGGGAGGAGAGGAAAGGGAGGGGAAAAGTGCAACCGAGCGCCCTGAGGTGAGGCCAGACATCCCGCGGCCAACAGATGCCCCATCGTGCAGGCTGGGGCGGGGGACCAAGATATGGCCGCCCTCGCCCGGGCGCAACACCATGGAACCAACCCAAGGAACTCTCCCAGCGAGAGGTCTCCTTGGGCCACGTTCGTCGGACAGCCCCGCTCGCACGTATTTTGCCGCGAGGTGGCCTCGAGGCTCGGATAGGCCGGTACATCCGAAGAGATGGACCCCAGACACAGGTTCGCTGACCTATTTTCCGCCGACTGGATTCCCCCTGGGGCCAGTGAAGCCGAGGATAGGCCGAAACGACCAAAACAGAAACACCCCCGGTGAAGCGAAGCAGGGGAACGGGGAGGGGGGGAGGGGGGAGTGAGGAGGAGGAGGTGGTGGGTGAGGAGGTGGGGGAAGAGGTAGCACGGGCATGAGGAATAGGAGGAGGAGGAGGAGGAGGAGGAGGAGGAGGAGGAGGAGGAGGAGCAGGAGGAGGAGGAGGAGGGGAAGGGGGAGGAGGATATGCAGAGGATCCTTCCCACTACCTCGAATCCTGGCTCGGCTGGGAGCGAGGCCCGCTGGACTGGGACGAGGTGGAGGACGCCCTCGGCACGTACTACCTGGCGTCTTCCTTTCTCTGCCTCCTCCGCGTCAACCTCTGCCTCAAATATGCCTCCTCCCTGCAAGGCCGGAGGGCGCATGATGGAGTTAGCACCGCGCACACGCGTCTCCTGAGCACCCCGCAGCTACGAGGATGGAGGGCGGGCCCATGCCGAAGTGTCGTTCTCGCTGTAGCACCGCGCACGCTCGTGCCCCAAAGGCAGGCATCCCACGGCAACAAGGACGGAGGGTAAACCGCTTTCAAAGTGTGTTCTTCGCTGCAGCGCGGAGCACAGTCGTCTCAACAGCTTCAAACCGCTTCAAGGATGGAGGGCGTTTCGTGATGTGGCCCCCGCTCACGACCTTGTGAACATGATGGCCAGGGGTGCAAACTCGTGCGATAACTACACGGATGAAAGACGGCCCCCCCGCGTGACACGTCACCAAAAGCATGACCGTAGATGCGTTTGAGCAACAGTTGCAGGCGAGATGGCGGCTTCTTTTCAAACATGGGTTCTCATTGGACTCGTCCTTCACTGTATTGAGGAAACGAACAATGGCATACACATAAAAGCTCTGAGGTCCGCGCGGGTTTCTCGGATCGGCGCTGGACCAAGCTCCTTGGTGCGCGGAGCGCGCCAGGGGCGGCGCCGGAGGCGCCGCCCGGGGTCTCCAGCGCCGATCCGAGAAATCCGCGCGGACCTCCGAGTTTGTATCTTTATGTCACTGGTCGTTCCCCCGTGTATGATCCTGCCTCTTCGCTCGCCTTACCCGCAGCGAGAAGGACGCAGGGCAGCTCTTCGTGCCAACACGGGGCGATCGCCCGTATGGTGGGGGGGGCACGGGACGCTTGCTTCTCGGGCGCGGCGCTCCCCGCCGTGGGAGGCCAGCGTGCAGGGGCGCATGAGGAGGGGACTCGGCACGGCGGGAGCGTGCTGCAGCAGCATTAGTGTATCCTGGGTGTCATATGGCCTTTTTATCCCTCATTCTCCTCCTCCTCCTCCTCCTCCTCCTCCTCATTTTCCTCCTCCTCGTTCTCCTCCTCCTCCTCCTCCTCCTCCGCCTCATTCTCCTCCTCCTCCTCCTCCTCCTCCTCCTCCTCCTCCTCCTCCTCCTCCTCCTGGTCCTCCTTCTCCTCCTCCTCCTTCTCCTCCTCCTCCCCTTCCCTTGCGGTCCCCCCCCCTTCCCCCCATGTCCTCCCCGCCTCCGCATTCCCCTCCTCCCACTCGCCCCCGGTGTCCCGCTCATTCCCTCTCGTGCTTCCCTCTCCCCTGCTCCTCCTGCACCCGCGATCCCCCCCCTCCCACCCCCAAGAGCCCCTCTCTCTCCCCCTCCGTGGCCATTCGGGCCCGGGCGAGCCGCACGTCGGGGGACCCTTGCCGCAGTGCCCGCCGCGGCTGCCCGCGCGCCGGAGCCGCCGCCAGCCGCCAGCACGCGCGCTGGCCCAGCGGCGGATGCCGAACACGTCGAGCTGAGGTTAAGTCGGTCTCGTCCCTCTACAGGAGGAAAATTCAAAAATAGTAACACAAAGGAATAGCCTGGGATCAATTTTCCTATTATGTGTTTGACTCTTATGTTTGACCATAACATTGTTTTTGGCTATTTCATTATTTTTCAGACAACATCCGCCTGTAGGAGGACATGCCCGACCGAAAGCCGAGACTGCGCCCGCACGCGGAGGTGCAGAGCCTGGCGCCGGTGCTGGGCCTCGGCGTGGAGCAATCGCTGGCGGCGCCCTGACCGAGAAACCGGCATGCGGCGGGCCTCCGAGGGAGGAGACCACTTCCTTGCGCCGCCGGCTCCGGGCAGCCACCAGCGAGGGGGAAACGGTGGAGGGGACCGGGGGCCCCGCGCGGTGCGGGGACCCCACCGTGTGGTGAACCAGTGGGGTTCGCAGAGAAGGAACATGGGCCACCGCCACCGAGAACCCATCGGTGAGGAACCTCGAAGAAGGAAGCACGCCGCAAGCATAAGGATGTGGCGCTCCGCGCGGATTTCTCGGAGATCCGCGCTGGGCCGCCCCTGGCGGCGCCTCCGGCTCCGCCCCTGGCGCGCTCCGCGCCCCGGGGAGGGGGCCCGGCGCAGATCCAAGAGATCCGTGCGGAGCGCCACAAGTTTACGTTCCTGTGCCGCTGCTCCTCCTGCCACCATCGGTGAGGAACCAGCCCCCGAAACGGCGGCCTGCCGAGCTGCGGGGCGAGCGCACGGTTTTCCGGCAGGTGGGTCGCTCTCCGAGGGTGCCTCGAGCGACCGGGGGCCTGCGAGGGGGGCCCCACGGGCGGTGCGGTGGCCCAGCGCGCGGCGAGGCCGTCGGGGGCTCGGAGGTCACCGCGCGGTCCGTCGCCGCGCCGTCTCTGGCAGGCAGGCCGACGGCGACGAGCGCGCAGGCGGGAGGCCGGGCCCAGCGGGGCGAGGCAGGCGGGCAGAAGCAGGGGTCCGCCTCTCGGCCCCGGGCGCCGCGGAGTGTTGGCCTCAAGTCGGGCCTGTCCCTCTACAGGAGGAATATTCCAAAATAGTCAAAACATAGTCTGGGGACTATTTTTGTTGATAGTATGTTTTCCCCATCTGGGAGCATTTTTTGAATCAGTTCTCTTTTTCGTCGACAATCCCCCTGTAGGGGGGGACACGCCCGACCTAATGCTGGCCAATGGGCGGGGAGGCGGCGCAGGAGGCGGGCAGCACGAGCGGGGCGCGGCCCCCGCTCTGGGCGCGGCGAGGGGCGCGGGGCCCCACCTTTGCCGCAGGCTGCGACCTGCCGCTCGACGTGGAGGCACTTCGCGAGTGCTCCTAAGGGGCCCACGTGCGAGCCCCACCCCTGCCCCCCCCACCACTTCGGAGGGGGAGGGGGGGTTCGCTTCGCTCGGGAGCTCCCGAACGCAGTGGACCCCCCCCTCACCCTTCAGGAATCGTGGGGGGCAGGGGTGGGGTTCGCGTGTGGCCCCCTGGCTTCGGCAGCGGCGTGTCCGGGCGGTCCGGGCTGCGGCGTGGTTGTCGAGCTCCCCTGGGCGGAGCAGGCGCGCGGGCGGAGCAGCCCAATCTAGCGTCGGGGGCCGTCCGCATTGTGGCGCAGCTCGACCACGCCACTGTCGACGGCTGGGAAGCGCAAGACCTGGACGAGTACGGTACGGACCACAAGCACCAGTGGAGGCAGGTGGCAGCCATGACGAAGAACGATTGCACCGAGGCGTAGGAGGAGGAGGAGGAGGAGGAGGAGGAGGAGGAGGAGGAGGAGGAGGAGTGCGTCGACACCTGGGGGCGCACGGTGGCGCATGAGGGCGCCCTGCAAACGGGGGTTAGATTCAGCGGTGCTCGCTCAGTAACGAGCGACACGAGTAGCGAGGTCGGGAACGTGTTCGAGCCGGATGTGGCCGAGCTCGGGTTTTCCCGACGCTCGGCTTCGGCGGGCAGCCAGCCACCGCGTAGAAGGTCGCCGTGCCGTCTCGTGTAAGTCCATCTTCGTCTGGAACACAGGGCGTGAAGAAGGAAGAACATGTCGTGGTAGGTCTATAGGAATGCCGGGACGGTCGGTCCCTGCTCAAACTTTTCTTCTTTGGCAAGCTGTTGGGCCTCGCGGGCCCGCAGCGCCAGACAGCCTGGGCACAGGTGGGCCCAGGCAGCAGGCACGTTGCCTCCTCGGCCGCAGAGGCGGGAGCGGTGGTCAGCAGAGAGCGCACGCGATGGCTGGCCAGACGGTCTCCTCCCCAACCTCCAATGCCCCACTCGCTCCCCATGCTCCTCCCACCCATTCAGGAGGGGACGGGCGAAGACGAACAGGTGTGTGAAGGAGCAGGGGAAAGTAGGGTGAGGCAAGGCAAGGAGCATGCGGAGGACGACGGGGAGGAGGAGCGTGCAGGGAGAACGGTAATTCGTCTCCCTCGCCATCCTCCTCCTCCTCCTCCTCCTCCTCCTCCTCCTCCTCCTCCTCCTCCTCCTCCTCTTCCCCCCCTCCTTGTCGTCCCTCCCTGCCTCCCTTCTTCCCTCCCTCCCTGCCTCCCCCACCCCTCATCTCCCCCCCTCCCATCACCTGCTCCTCCCCCAACCCTTCCTCTCCCTCCTCCCCTCCTCGGCGTACCTCTTGGCGGGGAATTTCTCGTCCAAGACCATGGACGAGCTGAACAGGAAGAAGACGATATTCGCGCAGAAGTACCCTGGCTGGCAGGAGGCTCGGCCCATCAACACGCGGTTCTCCTCCTCCCTGTCGCATTATTCCTCCATCCTCACCCCTCTGCCTTCCGCATTTCCTCCTCCTCCTGCTCCTGCTCCTCCTCCTCCTCCTCCTCCTCCTCCTCCTCCTCCTCCTCCTGTAACGGACCGCGGTCCCAAAGCTTTGCACATTGGTGCCAACGCAAGCCCCCAGTGAGAGGCACAGGCCGCCCCCCTTCTTCCTCCTCCTTGCCCCGCCCCCTCCCTCCTGTTCCTTCCTCCTCTCCACCCTCCACCGCCTTTCCCTACTCTCCCTCGCCCCCCCGCATTCCTCCCCGCATCCCCATGCCCACAGCCAGCTGCAGGCGCGCGCGTGGTTCAGTGACATCGTGGAAAGCAATCTCAGGGGCAGGGGCGGCGACCTGAACTTCGACGCCGCTCACGGAAAGGGGGAAAGGAAAGGGGGGGGAGGGCAAGACGGAGGAGGAAAGGCATGGGGAGGAATCGGGAGAAAAGAGGAGGAAGTGGAGTGGAATCGGGAGGAGAGAGGAGGCGGAGGAGGAGGAGGAGGAAGAGGAGGAGGAGGAGGAGGAGGAGGATGGAAACGGGAGGAGGGAGGAGAGAAGAGGACGGAGGAAGCAGGAGGAGAAGCAGGTGTCCGGCGGCTGCGTGAGGACTTGTGTGGTTTGTAAACTGTGGTGCATTGTGTCTTGCTGTCTTTTGAGGTAGTTGGAAGATTACCGGAAGTTTGCATGGAGGGGGAGGTGGGCGACGAGGAGGAGGAGGAGGAGGAGGAGGAGAGAAACTAGGGACGATGATGATGAGGAGGAGGAGGTGTGGCAGGCTTTTCGGCGGGGTCCGCATGCTATTCGGAGGTGTGCTGGTCCTCTGAGGGTGCGGAGGCTTCCAGAGATGATGCAGGAGGAGGCGAAGAAAAGGGCGGACAGGTGGCGGCATGCGCACGAAATCAAGAAAGGAAAAGCAGGGAGATGCGGAGTAGGGGAAGGGGGTGGGGGATGGGGAGGATGAGAAGGAGGAGGAGGAGGAGGAGAAGGAGGAACGGGAGCGGTTTTCTCATGATGTTGGTCGGCATTGTTGTTTTGATGTCTTCTGATTCGGAAAATTGCCAGAGGTCTACAAAGAGGAAGAAGAAGGAGGAGGAGGAGGAGTAAGACGACGAAGACGAAGAGGAAGAGGAAGATAATTGATGAGGAGGAGGACGAGGACGGTAACGACGAGGACGGAGGGATGAGGAACATGAATTGAGGGGAGGCGTCGCCGTTGCTGTGGGAGACCAGTACTACAAGTTTAACGACTTGGAGTGCCTGAGCTTGAAGACGACGCTGCGAGAGATGGAGAGCAGGAGGGCCGGCAGGGTTCGCCTGTCGGTGTTCTACAACATGTCGTTGTATTCCCACTGGCGGTTCACAGAGAAGGCCGAGTACTTGCGCACATTAGGTGCCTAGTCTCCTCCTCCCCCCCCTCCTTCTTCTCCCTCTCCTTGTCGTCCGCCCTCATCCTGGCCGTACCTCCTCCACCATCTCTTCCTTCTCATCCTCATCCCCTTCCTGGCCGCCTTTTCTCCTCCTCCTCCTCCTCCTCCTCCTCCTTCTCGTCGTGGTCGTCCGCCCACTCCTCTTCAGACTGAGAAGTTGCGCGGCAACGGCAGGTGTGCCCGTGCTGCTCTTCGCCGCGCAGATTGCACAGGCAAGTTTCCACGGCGTCTTCTGGAGGAGATCGACGGCACGGCGCGGTGGAGTGCGCGGTGGAAGAGGCGGAGGAGGAGGAGGAGGAGGAGGAGATACCTGGCCCCGATGCATGTTTCTGTGGCGCTTGGCTGCCGCTGCCCCCCCCGGCTGCTCATCGCCGAACTCTTCGACGTCTGAGCGTCCCTTCTTCCTCTCGGCAGTCCCCCCCCCCTCTCTTTTGATGCCCGCCGGCCAATTCGCTAGTTAGCACCCCTTTCTAGCTCCTCGCTGGAGCGGAGTTCGCCGCCTCGCCGCTGAAGGAAAAAATGTCTTTGTGGCGCTTTGCCAGACCAGAGGTGGTCTGACCTCGTCGCCGGTCTCGCCCTTGTTGTCCGTCATTATCCTTTCTCTCATCCACGTCCTCCTCGTCCTCGTTTTCCACCTCCTCCTCCTTCCCAGTCAGCTCGCGCAATTCAGGTGCGCTGGACGACTCCGACGCGGAATTCCCGCAGGTGATCATCCCGAACTACCTCACGGCCAGGACGAACTGCCTGGAGGCCTCCTCGCTGTACGCGCTCTGCTGCCGCAACGAGTGCGAAGACCTGCTGACGTACCTGGAGGAGCAGTCGGCCACGCGCAGGGGGGGGGGCAGGGGGAGGGGGGAAGACTCATCAGAAGCACCCCTTTTTTAGAAGGCGCGGGCGCCCCTCTGAAGAAGCTTGCGCCTGTTTCGTGGAAGCGGTTACTGGCGTGCTTTCAGGAAGCAGGTGGCTTGCTTCTAAGAAGCAGCACTGTGTTCAACGAAGACGCTGGTTTTTCTGTTTTAATAGATTTCCTTTTATATAGTATATATATATGTGTGTGTATGTAAAACACACACGCAAAACAAAAAAACAACAAAAAAAACAAACAAACAAAAAACGCCCCTGGCTTCTTAGAAGGGCGACTGGAGCCTTCTAGGAGGCAGCCGCCTTCTAAGAAGCTCCCCCCCCTCCCCATACCCCTCTGCGTGCGCCGACGAAGAAGTTCTTCCCTCCCCCTATATCATTCCTCTCTCCATTCCCCAGGCGGTGCTTGCACTTACGCAGGGATTCTTAGCTTCTGATCTAAAGGAACTGGACCGCACCTTCTGTCTGGAGGCCGTGTGGCCGCCGTCGCCGCCGCCCCGCCGCACCTCCGTCGCCTCCCGTCCTGTGGGCCGTTCCTTCGGCCCGGCGGCCATGTGGCCGCCGTCGCCGACCCGTCGCCCCCTCGTCGCCGCCCGTCGTCTGGGCCGCACCTTTTGTCTGGCGACCACGCGGCCGCCGACGCCGCCGCGTCGTCGCCGCCCTTGATTTCACAACGTTGATTTTTATTCTTCATTGGTTATGAAATCAAAAAAACTACGCCCCCCCCCTCACCAGGATGACCCACCCTTGGGGATGTACAATTGGTTTGCGATTCTGCCCCGTCGCCCATTCCAAGTATGAACGTATAGCATCGCTGCCAAACTGGGTCCGACCTCATTTTCAAAAACAAAAAACACTATGCGCCAACATTCGTTTATGATGATACACCATCAAGTGAGACGGAGTGGACACGCGCGCTTCGTCGCGCGCATATTGGAATCCTTCAAAAAAGAAGTTGAACTTCGAGCGTAGCATGTAAAGCACATGGCTTTTGCAACGCCAGTTTCCAAACTAACGATGTGCGCGCGCTCTTGCTAACCATTAAAAACCACCGGTGTTTCAAACGCTTTACGCAACGCAGTCACCCAGTGCAGCCAAAACGGCCTCTTTCGCGCGCGTGCCGAAATCATTCCAACGCCTTTGCGCGCGTGTTGCGATCCTTGCCAAATAAAACCCCGATGCGGGCCATTCGCGCGCGTCGACCGCGCGCGCATGTCGAAATCCTTCCAAAGTCTTCATCACCGACGTGGGGACACCATCCTCACCGGCTCATTCAGCATCGGCGCCGTCATTCCCTTTTTGCCGCCGTCCGTCGGCGACGTCACCGTCGTCATTTGCACTGCTGCGATCATCATCGCGTCTGCCGTTGTCGACGTCGCCATGATACCGCGCCCGCCCGAGCCACCGACTCGCACTGAAGTGCCCGCGTGTCAACGCGGCCTGCCTGACGCGCTGGGAAGTCCCCAGCGGTCGCGCCAGACTAGCTGGCCGCTTTGCGCGCGAGCCTGCAGGCGTTCGCGCGGCCGCAGCGATGCGCCAGCCAGCGCAGAGCAAACATCACAATCGCCGCCTCATGGGCTTTGCAGGCCAAGGTGCGGAGTGTTGTTTGATGATTGCGCGGTCACGCGCGAGGAAGTCAAAGTCGAATGCACCAGAATGTTTGCACCACACATGGGTCGCACAACCTATATGGCGCTACATAAATTGCACCACGTAGAGTGCACGACATACATTCTCCGTTTCTAAAAGAGTATTAGGGTATCCCCCCCCGCCCCTCTGGAAATTAACGGCCCCTTTTCGCATTGCAATTTGCAGGTGATCCTGGCCCACCGACAATTTCATACAACAGGCAGGCCGGCATCACCCCTTCATTTTTTGCATAAGTATTATGCGCGCGCACTCGTTCAGAAAGTTGCCTGACGAAGGGCCCAACCATATGCAGCTGCGAGTAGAGATGAGACGAAGACGGAGGGCGCGCAAACTCCGAGTATATCTCATAAGCAGCGCGCCGCAGGAAGAACGAGGCGCCGGGCAGGGGTGTTGGGGGGAGGGCGGAGCGGGATGGTGGGCTCTCAGATGTTTTTCCTTGTGTGTTCTCGCACCCTGGTGACCGCGGTTCTGGGCAGAGCGCAACGCGGAGTCCCCGCGACGCGCGCCAGTTGCCCCACGGGGGTCCAGGCGACGCGCGCGGGTCGTCCGTTGCGCGGAGCTAAGCGAGAGCTAGCTGGCTGGCCGACAGCGGGCCAGGCGCTGGCTGCTGGGCAGAGCGACGGCGGGCGAGCGAGGTGCTGTGCGGAGCGCGGCACGGCCGCATGCGGGCGGCCACTGGGGCCTCCGGCGGAGCTCCTTGTCGAGCCACCAAACGTGTGAGGGGTGCGCCAACATGGGTGGCGCGGACGCATGCGAACGCAGACACTGGGGCCTTCGGTGGGCGAGTTTCCTATGTGGCCACGGAACGTGTGAGGGGTGTGCCGGCAGAGGCGCGGGGACGCATGCGAGCGCAACCACTGGGGCCTTCGGTGGAAATCCCTATGAGGCCACGAAGCGTGTGCGGTGCGTGCCGAATTTAGTAGCGCGGACGCATGTGAACAACGCCACTGGGGCCTTCGGTGCAGCTCCCTCCGGGGCCACGAAACGTGTGAGGGGTGCGCCGAGATGGGTGGCGCGGACGCACGTTGAACCCCCTTATTGGGCCACGAAACGTGTGAGTGGTCTGCCGAACTGAGTTGCGCGGCCGCGTGTGGACACCGCCACTGGGGTTCCTGGTGGAGCTCCCTATGAGGCCACGAAGCGAGAGAGGGGTGTACCGAGACTGGTGGCGCGGACGCATGTGGACACCGACGCGTGGGCATTCGGTGAAGCTCCCTGTGGGGCCACGAAACGTGTGAGGGATGTTCCGAAATAGATTGTGCGGACGCATGTGGGCACCGCCACGGGTTTCCAGTTTAGCTCCCTATCGGGCCACGAAGCGTGCGAGGGGTGTGCTGACATGGGTGGCGCGGACGCATGTGGACGCCGCCACTAGGGTTTTTCGGTGCGGCTCGCTATGGGGCCACGAAACGCGTGCGTGAGGGGTGTGCCGACATGGGTGGCGCGGACGCGTGTGAACGAGGCTATTGGGGCCTTCGGTGGAATTCCCGATGGGGCCACGAAACGTGTGAGGGGTGCGCCGAAATCGGTGGCGCGGGCCAACTGGGGCCTTCGGTGAAGCTCCGTATGGGGCCACATAACGTATGAGGGGTGCACCCAGATGGTTGGCACGGACGCATGGGACACGAAACTTGTCACGGGTGTTCCGAAATGAGCGGCGCGGACGCACGTGGACCTTGCCATTGGGACCTCCAGTGGAGCTCCCCATGGGGCCATGAAGCGCGTGAGGTGTGAGCCGAAATGAGCGGCGCGGACGCACGTGGACACCGCCACTGGGGTCTTCGGTGCAGCCCCTTATGGGGCCACGAAACGTGTGAGGGGTGTGTCGGTTGATGTCGATGATGATGATGATGATGACGATGATGATGTTAATGATGCTGATGATGATGCTGATGATGATGATGATGATGATGATGATGATGATGATGATGATGATGACGATGGTGGCGGCGGTGATGACGACGACGATGATGATAATGACGAGGATGATTTTGGGATAACCGAGGGGGGGAGGAGGAAGGAAGGAGTGGACGCGGGGCGCTGCCTCTTAAAAAAGAGGACCCAACACCACAGGACGGTTGGGAAAAGTAATCAGTTTCCAAGAGCCCCCTGCAAGAAATGAGATGGAGAGAGCACGCGCGCGTCGTCGCGACAACATCCTTCGACAAGCTTGTGTCTGCAGGGATGTCAAAACGAGCATCCCGAAAACATGTGGCAAAGACACTGGCTGCGCAGCAAAAAGTTTCAAAACAACATGCCCGTCCGCTGTTTTATTTAACAAGAGGAAACCAGAGGTGTTCCAACATTTCCATGACATGCTAAAACAAGGGGCCTTCTTTGCGCGCATGCGGATATCTTTTGAACGCCCCCGCGCACGTGCTGTCGCAAGACTCCCTTGCAATCGACGGGCCGAAGTGCACACGCGCGCGCGCCGTCGCGCGCACACGCCAAAACCATTCGAAAACCATTTGTTGTGTCAGGATTTCAAAATCGAGCGTTCCGAAAACAAGAAAAAACACCTGGCTTGTCTGCGCCAGTGCTCAAACACAATTGCGATCGCGCTTTCGTGAATTTCCCAGAAAACCATAGGGCTTTCAACATGTCCATG